GCAAAGTGAGCAAGCTGGTGACAGACAAGGCTGCAGGTGAGCACGAAGCACAGGGAACCCCGATCCTCCTCTTCTCTGCACAGGCAGCACCCGGGAGAGAGATGAGCAGCAAGCACAGCTCCATTCCTACTGTTACTGTCATTACCGCCACTTCCGCTAGGGGGAGCTGCTCCCGGTTATTGGACACTCATCACGTGCTAAGCCCTTTAGATACGGTTTCTCATTTAGTCCTCACAAAGGTTAGTTTTATCTCCATTTTACACATGAGGAAACTGAGGCTGAGAGGATAAGTGACTTGTCTAAGTTCCCTCAAATAGTAAGTCACATTGGACCCCGGGTCACTGTGACCCCACAGCCTGTACACTTACATGTTTGCCCTGTAGGTGGCAGTAGAGAGCTGGCATGCTGTAGGACAGCGGTTCTCAACCTGTGGGTCACGACCCCTTTGGGGGTCGAACGACCCTTTCACAGGGGTCGCCTAAGACCATCGGAAAACATATATAATGACATATTGTTTTTGTGATTAATCACTATGCTTTCATTATGTTCAATTTGTAACAATGAAATTGGGGGTCACCACAACATGAGGAACTGTATTAAAGGGTCGCGGCATTAGGAAGGTTGAGAACCACTGCTGTAGGAGGAGGAAGAGGGGTGGGGGGAGGGTGGTGAACGTCTCATCAGGTCCAGGGAATTGTGGGTGAACAGCTGAGAGATGTGATGGGTCCGGCTACTTGACAAGAGGCGGGCCTGTCATTTCCGGAATGGAATCCTATGTGACAGTTTCATGAATCCATTGACCTTCGATAAAACCCAGCACAGATTTCTTCCCCAGGAAAGATCACTGATGCCTTCAGCTCTCTGGCCAAGAGGAGCAATTTTCGTGCCATCAGCAAGAAGCTGAATTTGGTACGTGGAGCAGGGATGAACGGGGTAGGGGGGTGCCGGTTCGGTCCTTGGTGGAGTACTTCGAGTCCGAAAAAACCTCTGCATCTTTTGTTTCTATCAAGATCCTACCACCCTGGCCGGTTTGGTTCAGTGGTTAGAGTGTCGGCCTGTGGACCGAAGGGTCACGGGTTCTATTCCCGGTTAAGGGCACGTACCTTGGTTGCAGGCTTCTCCCCGGCCCGCATCAGGGATTGTGTGAGAGGCAGCCAATCAGTGTGTCCCTCACATGGATGTTTCTCTCTCTCCCCCTCCCTCCCACTCTCTCTAAAAATCAATGGGAAAATATCCTCGGGTGAGGATTACAAAACAAGATTCTATCTTTCATAGCGTGATAGCATGGGCGTCACGTACCAATGAGGTAAGGCACACAGATTCATTCTGTTAGGAAATGTGTAACAAGCGCCTGACAAGGCCAGAGATGGCCAAGTGCTGCTTCAGCGACAGACACGTCCCATGTCACCGAGGCGTCGGCGAGGGGGCCCCTTCCCTCCAGCACTTCCCAGGAAATGTGGGAGCTCAGTCAAGAAAATCGGGCGCTGAACAGCAGCCGGAATCTTGTTTAGACTCTTCTTTTCGGGCCGTGGCTGCTTCTCCCTTTAGTTGAAGGAAGAACCGTTCTTGGGGACCCGCCACTTCTCTCTGACACCGTGAACGACCGGAGAGCTGAGTTGTCACTTGCTTTGCCCTCTAGATCCCGCGTGTGGATGGCGAGTACGATCTGAAGGTGCCACGCGACATGGCCGTATGTCTTCAGTGGCGCTTATGTGCCCCTCAGCTGCCGCGTCATTGAGCAGGTGAGAACACGTGACCCTCGCTCCCACGCGTGTCTCTCTCTCTCTCTTGCTTTCTCCTGGGCCCTGGTCTGACCCAAGTTTTGACTGCCCTGCTAACTAGCAAGAAATGGGATGGTTGGGCTGCTAGGACCTTCCTTTCCTAAACCCTATCCTGTTGCCCTACCCGGTTTGGCTCAGTGGATAGAGCGTTGGCCTGCAGATGGAAGGGTTCTGGGTTCAATTCTGGTCAAGGGCACATGCCCAGGTGTGCAGGAGGCAGCCGATCCATGATTCTCTCTCATCACTGATGTTTCTATCTCTCTCTCCCTCTGCCTTCGTCTCTGAAATCAGTAAAAATATTTTATTTATTTATTTATTTTATTTTATTTTATTTTTTAATTTTTTTTATTGATTTTTTTACAGAGAGGAAGGGAGAGAGATAGAGAGTTAGAAACATCGATGAGAGAGAAACATCAATCAGCTGCGTCCTGCACACCTCCTACTGGGGATGATGTGCCCGCAACCCAGGTACATGCCCTTGACTGGAATCGAACCTGGGACCTTTCAGTCCACAGGCCGACGCTCTATCCACTGAGCCAAATCGGTTTCGGCCTGAAATCAGTAAAAATATTTTAAAAAATAAATAATAAGCCTCATCCTGTCTTAGATCTGAAACTCACTCCCGTGCCCCCCCAGGTGCTGGAGCGGAGGAGCTGGCAGGGCCTGGACGAGGTGCTGCGGCTGCTCAACTGCAGCGAGCTGGCCTTCACAGGTGCGTGGCCTTGGCAGCGGGGGCCGGGCGGGCCAGAGGCGGCTGGACGCATCCCTGGTGCCAGCGTGCCAGGCAAGGGCTGAGTCTGGCCCTGGCTGGTGTTGCTCAGTGGATGGAGCGTCGGCCTACAGACCCAAGGGTCCTGGGTTCGATTCCGGTCAAGAGCATGTACCTCAGTTGTAGGCTCCTCCCTGGCCCGGGCCCTATTTGGGGCTCATGCAGAAGGCAACCAATTGGTGTGTTTTTCTCAGTCTTTCCCTCTCTCTTCCCCTCTCCCTAAAAATCAATGGGAAAATATCCTCATGTGAGGATTAAACCAAAAAAAAAAAAAAAAGAGCCGCGTCTGGTCTGCTCTCCACAGGCGGGACCAAGGACGACAAGGCTCCCAGTGAGTCCCTGCGCCTCATCCTGGTGGTGTTCCTGGGGGGCTGCACCTTCTCCGAGATCTCAGCCCTGCGGTTCCTGGGCAGAGAGAAAGGTGAGCGAGGACGGAAGGGAGACAGCCGGTCCGCGGGCGGGCTCTGGGCTGCCAAGGGCAGCACTCGGGAAGGCCCTCTGCTGCCCTCTGGGTACCACTGGCTGTGGGCTGGAGAGCAGGAGCCCGGCTCCAGGGCGTGGCCAGTCGCTGTGCCCCGAGCGTGGCACCCACGTGTCTGCGCCCGTGAACCGGTTCTTGGATCCAGCCCGGGCTGTGGAGGGGCTCTAGGCAGCGGGCCGGTGACGGGAGCCACTGATCTGCTCGTACTCACCTGGCTGGTGCTTTTGGCTTCTTCAGGGTTCAGGTTCATTTTCCTTGACGACAGCAGTCCACCAACAGCGCTCGCCCTCATGGAGCCCATGAAGTGAGTGGAAAGCCTGGAGGTTGCCCTGGGACGGCTCCCCAAGGGTCTGGAAGGAGGGGGAGTAGCCGGGAAGTTCCCGGCCCCCCAAACCCC